ATGACGCTTGCAAGAAAATCAAAACTGCCATTACGTTTTCACGGAATTCTCGGAAGGCGTCAATAATCTTGTCAACCGTCAAAGCGGGCTACAGCTTTTAAATTATTCCTAGTACCACTGAATCGTTAAATATAAAAGGTGCAACCAACTGCAGCAATTACATTTATCAGTTTTTATGCGTGTTTGCTGTGCAGTGCTACAGCACTGCACAGCGCTATAGCGCTGCTACAGCCAGCAAAAAACGCATATTGTCGAGAGGCTGCCTGTGTGTGTGTGTGTATTGTTCGGAAAGCGAGTGCATTTTGTCACCCACTTTCATCTCAGCAACCAGGAAAGCTGGGAGTCTAAAACTTTGGATATATATTCCTACCCCGTGTGTCACCCTCCGATTTTAAGATTTTTCCTCATACACGCTTGGACTCCGCATACGGTAGCCCCAAAGAAACATGTTGGCGGGGAACGATTTCACAAACCAGGCAAGGTAGAAAGCTGAAACTTTGCAGGGATATTCTCTATGCACGTGCGAGCTAAAGATTTTAAACTCAGCTGTCGAGCACCCCAACCACAGCCTCAAGCAGCTCTTCAACCCAAAAATCGTTAGCAACTCGGGCCAGAACTGCAATCGTATATGGAAATGAACATTAATTAATTTGCATACGTGGACTTTTCGACAAACGACCCCTCGAGTAACACTTTTTTAGTGAACTGAAAAATTGCATTTTTTCAAAAAATTTGCATTTGTCATGTTTTTACAAAGCGAGCACTTCGGCAAAAATTGCTAAGAATACCCCGAGGATTCCTCTGACGAGCAACACCCACAAACCCCCGAACCCACTCCTCCCTCCCCCCCATCCCCTCTCTGTTGAAACTACCCGCATCGATGGTCGCGACGATTTTCATTTGTCCAGCCGATCCACGCGACATTCCTGTACGCAGTGCAACCGGCTGATCCCATCACTCGAAAAAATTCCTATTGCATATTAAATTTAACTCAATTTTAACTCACACATGCAAATTTGGGAGTTTCAGTGAGAGAAACCTGGGGCGTTGCCGCTAATTCGTCGATTCGCACAAACGATTAAATCCCGCGTTCAGCTGAATGGTGGCATAATGAGGAGCCTTCTTTTTTCTTCCACATTCCGTCTCTATTGGAGACGGTACTTCAAAGTTTGATGCAAAAACGCATGGTCGCACCGGTACGCCTGGTGCGTTCCAGCCTGGGTTTCTCTTGCAATAATTTAAAAGAGGCCTAAAATAGGGAAGTTGCCTGCTATGTCAATGGCAAAAGTAGATGTATTTAATTATCAAGAAAACAACTGCCGATCAGAGTATTTAATTATAACAAAGAATTTATGAGCACTGGCACGTACATTGTCAAAAACTAGTACTTTAGGAGCGTTAATTTATAATCCTGTGGAAATTATATACGTTGCTGCACCATCCGCCGCAATGTTGCGAGCATGCAGCACTGTAAGTGTTGCTATCGCTATTGATCGCATCTATGCATCATATTATCCACTACGATATATGAAATATTCTCGAAAGTAACTTTCATTTGCTAGTTAACTTTAATACGTTGTTGCCTGGTACTCGGAACTCGAACATATGTCTTGAACACGAATAAGTGGGACTCGAACTCGAATACATGTCTTGTATGTTACTGGAATGCTGTTTTAAACCTTTGACCTGAGCTGCATGCCTTCAGTTAGTATCCATCGCTTCAAAAGTTCACTGAGTGATTGTTTTCCTTCCCACTGTACCAACAATCACAAGCGGCACCGATCGTTTGTCAGCAACGAATTTTTACTTTCTTTTATGATAGCAAAGATACGCTACACGTCACTCGATTAATTATTAAAATGATCATGAAAACGTAGTTCTAAGCATCTCTCATTTCATTCTTCGTTTTATCGCAGCTAGCGTTTGCCCTCCTGCCTTGGTCAGTGACCACGTTTCGCATCTGTGCATCATCTCTTCTAATACCCTGGAACTGAAATTTGCATTCAAAAAGAGGCCGCAGTGGTGAGAAATTCAAGCTAGCTGGCGGGATTCCGCGAAATTCCTCATTACTAAACAAATGCTGTGTTGTTTTGAAAATTTTGGAAATATAATTTTTGAATTTCCTAATCTGCCCTACTAGCACTTCCGATGTCTGTTTCGTTTCCTGAACGGATTACAGCCAGTGATTCTCACGACAGAAGCACTTGGCAGCGTCTTAGCCGCTTCTAGGTCTCCTTGATGTATATGTATGCACGTGTGTGTGTATATTGCACATTATTATCTTCCCTCAGAAGCTAGTACTTCAGGATACGATGAGGTACCTTACCGATTAAAAAGAACAGATTTATAAATATCGAGAAAGTTATGAAGGTTGCGTAAACGAACTTTCAGGCGGTCAGTTATCTGTGTTGTCTCGGTAGCGCTTTTAGGATTTGTTGTTGACCTACTGGTACTTGCACTGACCCAATCAACAGCTGTATTCAATGATGGCTGCTCGCGATTCACTTGCTACACATCAAATGTATCTTTTTACTGATTTCTTTATTTAACTGAACCCTCTTCGCACTCGAAAAAAAAAAAGAAACAAAGTGGGGCAAATATTAAGAAAAATAGAGCAAGATTTTCTTTGATGTGGTTGTTCAGCTACGACTCTCCAGTTATCGTACTGGCAACTTTTCCTGTTGTTTTGCCCAATGCTGCTTCGCGTGATGGTTAGCCTGCTGGCAGTTCTAATATTCGTCCCTTCTGCCGATGGGTCCACCAGCTCAGCAGGTCAAAAAGTTATTGAGTTAAAATCCTGAAAATTGTCCTCAGTATCGATTGAAAATACAGTATCCTTCACATGTTGTTCAGTATTCTCCTTCAAGTTCAAACCAATTGTTT